AGGAATGAGGCCTGTGAGGGGGAGCAGGAAAGGTGGGCGAGGAAGTGGTGATGGTTTATATGTGCACACTCCCACACAGTCAGATGTGGGTTTGCAAAAAAGACATGTGACCTGTTCTCTTTTTAGCAGCGTTCTTGCAAAATGTAAAATATGTAATATTGTGCGATAGTAGGAGAGCACGGTTGAATTGTTACGACTTGATGCACACATGTTTACATAAAGGAACTGAAAGTTTCTGTTGGAAAGTATTTATCAAAGCCAAATAGACAGACACTGAATAACTTAACATCTGATGCTACTGTATGGTGCTCAGATGTTAACTAGAAAGGCAATAAAGTATCATGTTAAAAGTAAAACATATGTAGGCAAGTAAAAATATAATAGATACAGAAAAGCTTTCACACTGTTTCCTCAAACAAGCAATGTGCACAAGGTGAAGGTAAAAGATTTGGGGTGGGGGCTGCAAAGGTGGTTTTCCTGTATTTTAATGGACATCTACTGCATATGTACACGCACAAATGTTACAGAATCTTTAGTGAAAGATTTCCTTATCGTGTCCAAAGAAAGCATAAACACAGGAGACTAAAATAACTCTTTTTTTGTCTAGGTCTCTTCTGTGGAACTGGTTGTTGGTGTGTATCTTAGAAGCTGTGGTTTCTTTCAGGTGTTGCTGCTGCTATTCTCAGCTGTCATTTTGGAGGAGGCGCCAGAAGTATACAGATAGTCCTTAAATAGGCTCATCACTCGTTTTTTGTAGGTCTTTATAGCAAAGAAGTAGATGACTGGATCCAAACAGCAGTTGAAATTCATCAGTGACACTGTAATCTAAAGGGAGAGCGTGGATTATGAGAGGGAAACCTGACGGAGTATATTTGGAAACAAATTTAAAAAGTGCAGTTCCTACCTGTGAGGACACTTTAAAGGCCCTCAGTTCCTCACAAGTTGGCAGGTGGTGTATTTTTCTTAACATAAACTGCATAATGTTCAGGTGATAAGGGCTGAAACATATGATAAAGGTGAGGAGGATGAGGAGAATGATGGTGTTGGCTCTATGATTCCTCCTCAATCGGCTGGTCATAGAGTTCTGCTTGGCTGCAGCTCGAAGCTTTAGGTTGATTTTGGCGTAGCAACCCATGATGACGATGAGCGGGCAGCAGAAGGAGATGGCACAGGCCAGAAGGAGGAGGTAAGGGGTGAAGCGGGAGCCCTCAAAGTTGATGTACTCCATGCAGGTTCGTCTTTCCTGCTGCACTTGCAACATGCTGCGGAACAGCAGAGGAGCTATCTGCAGAGATACTAGAGCCCAGACGAGGCAGCAGACTCTGCGAACAACCCTCACGCTCCGTAAACACTGCAGCTGATGTGGATGCACCATGGCCAGATATCTGTCCATACTGATACAGGTCATGAAGCCAATGCCTGGTGGAAATTTAATAGATAATTTGCAGTTTATGTATAAACATAAACAGAATTGATGGGCAAAAACAAGCGAATCATTTCACAGACAAAATAGAGATCATGAATTTGATCTGGAAAGTGGTGTTTTTGCCATTCTAGTCCCATTCTGATATTTTGAATTTTTTTGTTGAACAAACTTTTTATACTTCATATACTATCTGAATTCTAAAAAATCACATAGGTTTAATACAATTTTAAATGAACTAAATGTTATCTTGTCCCATGTAAATGTCTTTACCACAAATAAAGACATGGTCAAAGATAGACAATAACATATTGGCACTAGAAAAAGTAACATTACCTGCATAGGTGTTTGCAAAGAAGAGAAGTGTGGTCAGTCTGCAGAGAAGGTCACCAAAGGGCCAGTCAAAGTGACGGACGTAGTAAGTAATTCTGCCTGGCAATGTCAGTGTGAACAGGGCGTCAGACAGCGCAAGGTTGACCAGATAGATCGAGGTAGAGTTGAACTTCTGCTGCCTCTGGCAGATCACATAGAGAACCAGACTGTTGCCACATGCACTGATGATGAAAATCACAGAGTAAAAAATAGGGAAAAGGACCACTGCAGCTCTTTGGTAGACAAACACATCACAGCTGCTTTGGTTTGGATCATGTTCCGAGGAGTCCAGGGTGATATTAAGAACAGCCATCCCACCTGTCACTTTGAAAAGAGGATAACACTGTAAATTATAAAGAGTTACAGGCAGTAAAAACAGTGTGTATAGGTAAAGGAACAAGACACCGGTGTGCTATAGATAAAGAGCACAATATTATAGAGTGCTTACGATAAGAGCCAAGCTGGTACTGTTGAAGCTGCTGAGTCTCTTGATTATGTTTGGAAATGTAGCTGTGATACTTGAAATCCCTTTGAAAAAGTTGTATGAAGTCAAATCCCACCTCTTCTTTTTGACATCATCCAATATCTCTTCTTCCATACTGTAACCCTAGTAGTTAGTCTATGCGCTGTGCTCAACAGACTGTTTCAGATCTTTTCAAACTGTTGATGATTTAAACAGTATGTTAACAAAATGTGTATAATGTGTTTTATGATACAGTATTGATTTAGTGTCCAGTGGCTTTGCCATTTTTTAAATTAAGATTTTATCCTTACATCTCTCTGTCAAGAAACTAAGATACTTTGCAGGACCCTCAAACTGAGGAAGACATACTGCAGCACTTGCAGGGTGAGAGGGAAATGTTAATGTACTTTTCATTAACAGCATATGAACAATACACACACATACAACATATGTAACATATGTTTGCATAAATATAGAATGCATGTACACCATTTTTGTGATAAAAATAAGTCTCTCTCTCACACACACCCCACACAGTAATGGAAATAAAGGTGTAAAAACCTTTAATGTTTGACCTTGTTAGGGACCAACTTCAAGTTTCTAAACAACAGAGCTGTGAACATAGACCTTTGTCCCCACAGCCTGGATAATGCTGGAGTGCTGGACACTGCTCTTGTGTTTCACATCAAGTCAGATTTAAATTTTGTAACCCAGTATCAAGTTGCTGCAAGGAGCTTTACAATCTGTACAGCAAGCAACACCCTCTGTCTGTAGGCCCTCAAATCATGAAGTATCTATTTCATTGCGGTTGCTGTTTAACTCATGCATACAGCTCTGATAGACAGTATATAGAAGTTGCTTTGTACAAAAGTGTCTGTCATGCTATAAGTACTGAAATTGTGGCTGCAGTTTAATACAATAATAGTAGCCAAACAGTTGTATAAACACATCTTATTTGCACTACTGCTTGCAGCGGGGGTGGCTGTTTTTTGTAAAAGGTTAGATGAAATGATAGTGTGAGGTTTTATGTGATGTTCCTGTCCCTGAGGTTTCTCAACTCTGTAGTATAGCTGAGGTGAAGGCAGGCAGGCCTAAAGTGGAGTTGATGGAAGATATAGAAGGAAGCTGAAATATTGCTGGTGTGAAAATGTCACAATCCTATGATGTGTGTATGAATCACTAACAGTTTGGAGAATGACACGTCTACATTTATATATCTCAACCACCAAACCCCCTGAACTATTGAAGCCGAGAAAAATGTGGTGTTAAATTCTGAGAACGGTTGTAGTAATAGAAATGTAGCAACATAAATACTTCTGCTTCAAGCACAGGAAGATGCAGCAGCTTCGCTTCAGTTAACAAAGCAGACTTAAAATGTGGTCTATTGTGCAATTTTCAAAATGCTTTAGACTACAGCTTGCCAGAGACAGCATATATATTTAGCAATTACCAGGTATCAATAAAATACTAACTGGGGACTGACTGACTGGTATATACAGCGACAGATGTATAGGGAATAAGAAGGTAACCAATGTGTATTTCAGAGGATCTATAAATAAAGTACTCTCTCAATTACTAGGACCATATGGAATGTTTACCCCATGTGCTTTCCAGTTTAATATACAGCTGCTGTTAGTGACCTGTTGCATTATAAGAGTGTTGCATTCGAGGTATGAGGATTCCTGCACTGGTAACAGTGAAGACCATGCTAGTGACACTTGGCCAGTGAATCTGTCCGCTATGTGGTATGATGTACAGTATGTTGTGTGTGTGTTTTCAAGTTGCTGAGTTGATTCATCAGCCTATAAGCGTTACCTTTTTGTCTGTTTGTTTGTTGACAGTAAAGAAGGACTTAACTGTTGGCAAATGACAAGTTTTGCCACCTGATTAACATGTTTGCCAGAACAAAACACCACTTTATTTTACAGCATGCATACAGTAACTTGTAACTAATAACACCAAAAATGGGGCCACGTCTTGGTATAGAAAACCAGTAAGTACTTTACTGATTCTTTGTAAGAACCCAGTATAAGAAAGAAAGTCACTCTTGGCTTTTCCTGTTTAGGGGTCACCACAGCGAATCATCACACTGATGATTCGCATGTTGACATTTGGCATATGCTTCATGCCGGATGCCCTTCCTGATGCAACCCTGATTTGAACCTGGGCCGAGAGTGCTGCACCTTAACCACTAGTCTACCAGGGACGGCTGTAAGCACTCAGTATGCTCACTGTAATTTGTGGGCAGTGATCTCAAGAATCACAGTGTATTTCTTTTTTCAGTGATAGGTATTATGGATAAAGGACATTTTATTATTGTCACCTAGACCTACCACCATCATCCGGTGGTATACTTAATAATGTCAGCGTAGTTTAGGACTAACAGTACAGTTCAGTTGCCAGGTTAACGAGTACAGTAGAAGTGTACTGGCTACAGTATCTCATCTTGTGTGCCCACCAAAGCCTTTCATGTGGCTGTAATTGAAACGGATGTTTGCTGGATAAGCAAAAGGTCACTAATTGTCACCAGTCAAATGTAGTTACAGCACAGCTTTACTTAGGTCACAGTAAAAGCGTCACAGAGACAATGTCACCTGCAGGTCAGGGGCCTGCTGCACTTCAGGCCTACATTTCATGCTCCATTAATTTTGTATGCAGAGTTAAACATCTTGTGTGACTTGTAAAGGAAAAGACAGTCGGTTGTTGAGCGCGCACTGGGTGACCTGAGCGTCTCTCAGTGTTAAATACTGCAGGAGCACAGGAGGACATGAAAAGAAGGAGATGATCACTTCGGCTCATGTGTGGCCTCTGCTAGGTCCACCAACTCTGCTTCTGCAGTGCACGTGTAAAGATTTTAACTGTGAATAATAAGACTCATTAAAGAGGTGCTCTGGTTATTATCATTTAGGTTTTTGACTGTCACCATTTTATTGACCTCAAGCATAAAACATTCTGTGTTCTGTCAAAACATGAGTCAAACACAAGCTAAAAACATACAGTTTATGTATTACCAGTTTATGCATCACACCAGAACCATGAATAGTTTAAATGGTGCACATGGTCGTGTGTAGTTGTGTGTTTGTAGTTTTTTGGCCCGATAGGTGTGTGACATGAAAAGTCTTATGAAATGAAAAGGGTGACCCAGCATTGAATGCACATGTAAGTCACTTCCCAGAAATTTGGCTTTTTTCTGGTTAAGTCAAGGGGAGGGGGGGTGAATTACTGTATGCAATAGTCAATTGCACCAGCAGCTCATAAAAGAGCTTCCCAGAAGGCATATCATTTTAAATGCACCCTCATGGTGTGTTGCTGAGGCAAACCGGGGATGACTTCTGGTGTCCACGACATGTGTGGAAAAGCCAGCATGGTTCCACAAACGGTGCCAAACCAAATTTGAGATGTTTTTTACTGCCAAAATGAATTGTGTGTGAAACTTCCACAACTCAGATCATATTTAATTCTAGGTTATCAAGCAGCTTCTCTGAGTTACTGTCATGTCAACCTATTCAGCAGTGTGTACTGATGGACAATGACTTTTTAGAAACACTGGTAGTTTAACATATTCATAGACATGCAAAAAAACCAAAACCAATAAACAAGCTAAAACACTGCATATGTCTTTACACTGTTGCAGTTCAGGTTTCCAGAGTTAAATGCTATAAAACAAAACACCACTAGAGGGGGTGCAATCATTATGAATCTCAAACAGAAACTACCCAGAACTGATGAAAGTTAAAAACAACCTTAATTTTTGCAAAATGTTTTAGATTTAAGCCATTCTGTCATTCGCATTTTATTCTTGCGTTACATTTCGTGCATCTTGCCATTTTTACCATGTCAGTGTAGAGGTTTTCAGATTGCGTGCTTGTGTGCGTTTGTACATCAGTGTGTGTGTTCTTGCATAAGTAGACTGCTGGATATACTGCAGAGGACTCCTGCATTGTCGGGGAGCCTCATGTGGCTTGTGTCTGTTCTCATCATCACCATTTCCCACCATGCATCAGCCACCGCCTGCCCTGTTCAGGACCTGACCCCTGCCTCACTAAGCTTGCAAGAAGACTCTCTGTTCACACTTTGCTTCATGTTTGTTTCCTTTCTCACTGATAAGACAGTTGTTGTTTTTCAAGTTATGCTTTTAAACCCATTGCTTCACAGAGGAAAATATACTGCACTATTCCACATGCCTCATTTGGTGTGAGACTGAAACAAGGGCAGTAAAATGAAGAGAGTAAAGTAGCTGCTCTTGTACTGACTAATGCTGTATAAGTGTGAGGAACCATCATCAGATGCTGTCACAGGTGTCTATGGGCAGCAGGTAAAAGAATGTTTACAAATCCATTCATTTCATAGTCACAGTTTCTTTATCCACTATGTCACAGTGCTGATACCAGTGTTGTGAAAAACACACACCAGCCTGTTGTGCGTGGTGTCCTATTGAAATGCTCATGACTTCACACCCATACCTTTGCTGTGAACTCCACCCTTCTCACATACTGTAGCACATAAACTCATCAGTACATCAGCTCATCACAGACATACCCACCTCACAGATGCACCATGAATGGTAAGCTCTCATTCATTGACCCAAATTGAGGGATTCAGTTTACTTAACTGTTAAAACCTGACAGAAGCTTGAGTTCACTGACTTATAGTGGTCTGACCACTGGTTCCAGAGGCATCATTTTAGTATCTCAGAAGTTCCTCCTGGGTTTGGGGGCATTTTATGTTGGCAATGATAACAAGAACCAAAGACCAACAATGTGAAACACTGGGACAAAAAGGCTTTGTTGTAGCTTTGGACAATGACACATACAAGATTTTAACAGAAAACCTTTATGTTCACATCACTG